TCTATGTTTTGTCACTGACAATAAAGAGATGTATTGCTCTTTCTCCTGTTGGAGGGAGACGTCATTCAGCCTCTGTTCTCTGTCTCTGGCAGAGAAACCACAGCTCTGGCCTGGATAGAAGGACAGATAAATGTGGTGATTTTCTCACAAAGGAGCTTCAAACTGGTCTTTTTTAAACCATGCCACGGTGAGTCTGAGCAGGCCTGTAGCCTCAAGAGTATTTCTGGTGAAAACCCAGCCGTGGAAAGTATAGCACAGGCGGCAGTAAGCATATTATCCACCATGAATGATGCAGCTCAGCACTAGGCCCAGTTACATATCACTCTGTTTTGATCAGCAATGACTGCCACACCCCTCGAGCAAGCCAAGCTAATATTGAAACCAAAACACATTCCAACATTGTCTTATGTCATCCTCTGATTACCAAACTTTAAGGCAGATTTACCCCCAATTTATCTGACAAGAGCATCAGGGACGAAGTGTGCTCTGGATCCGATGTTCAGCACAGAACATCGGGTAAGGTGAGTGGTTTACAGGTACGATTTTCATCTTCCAAACTGATTTCAGAAATGACTGGGGGCATTATGATAATTCTAAACCTGTTTGATATTTGCTCGAAATTGTCTTTTTGAGGCGACCAGAGTGTGACCGCGGTGGGCAATGAGAGACAGGTCTACAAAGAGGGAAGAAGGGAAGACTTCCAAAGTGCAGTCTGGGTTTAAAGTACAGGTGCAGGGAAAAGGCTAGAAATGTAGCAAGACCTGCAGAGGCTGACATATCCTCGACTGTGCAGAAAAAGAAGAGATGTGGAGAAGGAATGTTTGTGTGTTTCTCTGTGTAGTTCCCACTGGAAATGTAATGGTAATAATATCCTCTTGTTTATGATGCAATGTTATTTTGTAGACTGAGCGTGTTTGGGATGTGAATGTAGATGAGCTGTGAAATTTCCGCTCATGTATTTTTATACATTTCAGACCAGATTTTAAAACTCCTAAAGTCTGAGTCTGCCTTGTTTCAGTCACTGTGACCGTTACATTCGCCCATATCATGCTCATGAGGACATGGACTGACAGTTTGGTAATGCAGCTGAGAATGCAGACTAACATTTCCAAAGAGCAAAACAATACTGAGGCGTAATGCAGTTATAGCCTACAGATGTACCCACACTGGCAGGTGATGTCTGCCGTGGAGAGCAGCAAAAATTCATCTTCAGTCAACTTTTCCATTCCAACAAATGAAGACCTGAGGCACTGTGATTGACACTGGCACCACTTTACTGGTAACAAACACACATTCATTATTTTTGCCATCTTGTTATAAGTATGTCTCATGTTTTTTGATGTCTTACTGACAATAGTATCAATCATTTACTCAAAAAAAAAAAATTTACTCAGATTAGTCACTAGTGAAAATATTGAGCTGCAGCTCAAATCATTCAATAACAGAAGAGGAGGAACTCAACTATACAGCTACAAGCAAACTAGAAAGGTTAAATCGAGAGTGTCGAAAATACAAAACTGCTACAGGCTTGTTGGCTGACAGCTCACTGACCACCTGCCAATGAAAATGCTTGGCAGTATCTGACGAGATACTGACTTTCATAACAATATATTCACAGACTGGTATGTCTTATCTTTTTACAGAATCTTAAAGATAGACTTAATGTGATTTATATTACAGCTTACACAGTACTACCTTATTTTTATCACAGTCCAATTATTTCTAATGACACTGCTGTAATGAGTGTGCATGTAAACATACTGTATTACTCCAGAAACATAACACAAAGAACTGAACATTCCCTTTTTTCCAGCTTTCTCATTTCCACTGCCTGGCAGGTGCAACTGGTGGTGGTGAATGATTTGAGAAATTCAAGACCCTGAGCTCTCTTCTGCTGCCAGTGCTTTCAGAGGCCGCTTGGATTACTGTAACAGAGAAATGAGTCATCAACCCTGCGGTTGACAGTCTGCTCATCCAGCCTGAAGCAGTGTGTTTATTTTTTTTTTTATTTTATCCGGAGAAGGCGTGCATATTTTCAACAACACCCTGCCTCACAGTCACACAGAAATATATATTCACTCCAGTTAACACGCATATATGTGGGAAAATATATTCAGTGGCAAACTGAGGAACGACCAAACTTCTCCTTCTGCTACAATTTCAGCTGCAAAGGGACACACATTCAGTAGTAGATGTGAGAGGAGGAAGCACAGCTGCAGCCTTAAATGCTATAACTGTGTCTATTTATATCTATATATGCATGTCTACACATTTATACGTGCACTTCTCCGTGCATGTGCCGTTTAATGTGAGCCCCATGCCAGGGCTGCCCCCTCTGATAAGCAGGTCTGGTACACTTTGTGACTGTCTGATTGAGGTCCTCCAGGGAAGGCCGGCTGAAGTGGAGGGGGGTAGTTTGCATTCTTGGCCATTTCATGAAAAAAGGGTGCAACCATGGGAGTAAGCCAAGAGGAGGGCTCAATTATGCATGGTTAAACAAAGCCCAAGGCTACCAGCGAGCAATGTCTCAGCAAACTCGGCCTCACTCTGGAGCTCCAGACTCCAGGAGAACCCTACTCAGGGGCACAGGAGAAAAGAAAGAAACAACAAAAAAAAAACAAAAAAAACAAACAGGGACGTAAGAACGTAGCTCCTGATAAATCACTGGATCGTGTTATGACAAGTGCAGGCACATTGAAACCAAACTTCTCAGAGACCTTCAAAACTCTGCTTAAAAGCAAACATTTCCATTCACATGAGGTCAAATGATACATCGCAGTCTTGTTACCAATAAACCATCTTGAGAGCTGAGATGGCCTGTGAAGGCCGACTGAGCACAGAAAAGGACTCGTTAACTTATCACAGGCACGATTTCTCCGATATATGCAACAATAATTCTCTGGGGAGCCGTCTGTGGTTTTTGTCTAACAGCGATAGTCCTACATAGCTATTTTATGATGTAACTACCACCTCCCCAGTGAGAAATCCAGTCACTCTTTAAGAGCATCTTTAGTCCTCAGAGGATCTTACAGATATGATGATGAGAACCAGTGTGTTTACTTGGTTTCAGCACTGAAAGCTGACTTCTACACAAACCCTAAAAACATAATTAGGCACACTGAAACAGCAGTTACACCTTTAACCAGGTCGGAGGCTATTTTTCCACAGCAAACCCCACAACTTCAGCAACTGGACACTCGGCATCTGGCCCCTCTTTCTTCAGACACACAATAAATCGGAAAGTATGTGGCTTTGGTTACATGTAAATTATAGGCAGTTCCTCCAGAGCCGGAGTGGGTGGGGTGGAGGATCAGTATCCATGTATAGTGCACATATGAATGGAGGCAACCTGGCTAAAAAGCTCTTTCCCGACATCTTCCTCTTGTTTCCCGGGGAGAGAGAGAGGAGGGCTGGAGTCGGGTGACAGCGACGTCCAAAAAACACACACACAGATACACACACATAAAACCCATACTGTACTTTGAGCTGAAGAACAGATTTAATTACAGTCTTAAAGACTAAATAATGTCACCATTTCCTTTCTTTATGGCATTATTAGCTTGTTCCTGCCACAGAGAGAAGTGAGCTGCCCTGTGATTCTACTGAGCAGACTTCTGCCTGAGGTTTTTTTTAAGCAGCAGATGTTTTGATCCCGACTATCACACTACCTCAAACAGAAAGCTGGTGATACTAATGATGATATTTCAGCAGAGACAGCAGCAGCTGATTGCAAGAGCAAGGGAGTTAAAAAAAAAAAAAAAAAAAGAAAAAGAATCCGCAGACAGAAGGTGGAGACCCTGGACACAAACTGAAGCAGAACCAGCGGCACCACACTGTCCCCACTGTTTTCCATGGTTTCTGAGAATGACTGACTGACTGGCTGCCTGTAAACCGTGGGATGTATTTAAAGCATAAATACATAAATATAACAAGCAAACATTTTTCCAGTGATTAAAAGCATGTGTTGTACTGTGCTCATTAACGGCTGTTTTCTTCAGCTGGAGGAACAGTTGACTAGTCTGATATGTGTAGGTGATATTAAGAGTGGGGGCATCATTTTCCTGGGCCAGAACCAGAAAAATACTGACAGAAAATTGCGACAAAAAGGGTGTATGACACTGAAAAAGCTGTACAGGTTTGTGTAATCTAACTTACTGAAATAACAAGTCTTAGATGAACATTTACTCGCTCCTAATGAAAAACATTAACCTCTCATAGCAACTGCAACTTCCAACCACTTTGTGAGATGAAAGAAGATGGGCGCATGCCAGTGTTTGAAAAGCAACAAGTTAGTAATGGCCTTTGCCCACTTATCAACAGTCAGATGCTACAGCTGCAGGTGTGGCAGTGATGCACACTCCAATAAAGGTGCTTGAAACCACTGCCGCAATATGCATAAAAATAACACTCCTTCTCAGAGTCGCAACACTCTGAACACACAGATGTCAAACACATATGTTTAGACTCAGTGCAACTATCACTTTCCAAGAATATCATTATCTCCAATGTCTATTGCAAATAAATGTCTATAAATCCACTCAGGAATCATAGAAAAGAGACGCTCCTTATGACTACACAACTGTATCAAAATTAGTCATTGATAGTTTTATGTACATACATAGAAACAGCTCATTTGACATACTTTTAAACGGTGCCAACTCGCGAAGGTGACAGTTTTGTCTGCGGAGATCAAATATAGTACAACAGCTGTGATTTCAAAGGGGCCATTTATTAACAGGCAGTTAATAAGAATTTTGTCAAGCTGGGAACACTGTAGGTCTGGTCTACCCGCCTGGTCTCCAAACATACAGTAGAAAGCAGACTGTGGGGCAAACTGTCAGTGTAAATTCACAGAGTGATGCAACACTGATGCTAGAATGCAAATAAAGGTGTCAGCGCACAGTTGTCTGCTGCTACAGTCATGCCAGCTGAATGCAGGTGGGTCCATCCACATTTGCAGACTGGATGGTGAATCCGCTTTTATTGACAATCTTACTTACCACAGGAGCAGCAGGTGAAGCAATTTGTGTGATACAGGTTCCCCATGGCTTGGCAGGCTTGGCTGGCTCCATACACACCCTTCCCACATTTGACACAGATACCTGTAAAACACAAGAGATCAGTTAGTTCTGTTATGTATGCTGGGTAATCTATCTATATGCAACAATAAAATAAGAGCATCTTATCGTTTGTCTTTGTGAGATTTGAACATTGTCAGAATGACACGATTCTTTGACTCCAAAGCAAAGAATAAGCACTGATTTACCTCTGGTTTATAACTTATGTTATAACCTGTTTGAGACCGAATTGATGTTTAACTAGCTTGTACTATTCAGTGAAGATAATGTTTGCTGCAGCGCTTGTGGGCACCATGAGAATCAAACAATTGCTGGACATGCTGCAAGCTTTACTGGAGCTTTGCAGGAAAGCTGATCAAAAAAAACCCCAACTCTGCCAAACCTTGTGTGCATTCCTTTAATTATGCAACACTCAAATTAAATGTGAAAATGACTAACCTGCTTCAAATATCAGCACTACTGTATTTCCACAGGCAGATTTCATCCCTTGTTCTCCCTGCATCTTTTGATGGTCTTTGAAGACCAACACCACAATGAAATTCAGAGATGTCAACGTAAGTCAGGCTCCCAGACATAAAACATGAAGCAGACTATTACAGATGCACAATTATGCCTTTGATGAAAGGTTAAAGGTTTTTTCCAAATTTCAGTTTGTGATTATTAACTCACAAGAAATATTTCTTAATGTGATTTCATTTCCAATTGCAGAAGTCTAACCTAAACGTCTGACATTTCCATGCATTACATCATACTGTTTGAAGGCAGACTGCTTCAGGAAAGCTGATCATTATATTAAAATATGCTGAAAGGAAATGCAGAGGACGTACGGGGATTGTCAGGAAAGGCCAGAAACACACTGTTTTCAAAAAACTTTATGTGCTTTTTCCTTTTCACGAGAAGCCCTGAATTGACTTTTAAGTGCATTTTAGTCTTTGCAGGTGGTAAGTTTTGACTAAACTGTGGTATAAAACATTTGTACTGCATATATATGAACACTCAGCGAGCTGGTAGTCTGTAGCCTTTTCTGGTAGCCTTTACAGATAAGGATAGTGCTGTTTCCCCCCTCTATTTTATCATATTTAGAGCCATTACCAGGATTTTAGAAATATTGAGGTCAAGAGTCCAAGCTCCCTCAGTGCATCCCCATCCACAACTAAGAACACTTTGTGCAGCTGCAAAAAATTCTGTAAAGATTTCTTTCTGCTTCTTATCTAAACAATATATCATGAACAGCTTCAAAGCCCCTGAAAACAAGAGAATAGGAACATTCTCAGTTACGTTAAACTAACTACATAATAAACTGTCCATGTTGTTTGATCAGATTTGACTGACAGCGCTGGCAACATGAGCAAAAACCCCACCACTGTGATTAGATTGTGATTCAAGTGTTGCTAAACTATACTGAAATAATTGACATCGCCTCTTTCCAACTGGGCCATGTTGCCTTCAAACTAGTGACAGGAGGACAGAGAGACAAAAAACAAAAATACAGAAACCTTTCATGTAAAATAGCCATAAATGCAAAAGCCCAAATCTCAGAAACAATACTGATGACCTTTATGACCTTCATGCTAGCTAAAAGCAGAACAATACTGATATGTTAGTTTTTGAGGGCTGCACGGTGCCTGCTCCCACCTGTGCAGCAAGTTGTCTACAGTGGAAGGTGCAGGTCAGGGGAGAGTTTCACTGGTGTTACTGGGGTTTTTCCTCTCGCTAAGGGGAACCTCGACATAAGTTGTCATGGTGGGAATAATTTTAATGAACAATTCACTTTGATAGTCTGTCTCCGGAAGTCAAATGACTTGACTATCTGATCGCAATGTTGCAATTTTACCATTACAAGGACTGTCACTGCCCGACCCAGCTATCCACAGGTACATGAGAACTGCATGTAAGCCTCAACTAAACCAACTACACAAAGTACTGTGACCTTTAGTGAAGAAACTAGATTGAAGGGGAAAAAAAACAGTGGCTAAAAAGTATTTGGAAGCAGCAGACTAACAATCTCCAAACTCTCACGCACAAGACGACCTCCACCGGGGTCACATTCCTCAGGGAGTGCAGGGTCAAAGCCTGGGTGGGGTGAGTCCAGGGTCACACTGCCTACAGGACACAAGATCTCACAAGATCCCAACATGGGAGCTGCACACGAACACCCCCTCCTCCCACAGACAGATTATTACATTTACTTATCTTTAAAACACACACACACGTCTCAGGATAGATTCAGAGCGAGGATACACGTTCTGTGACGCAAACGTGGAATTCCCTAGCTATCTGAGGCAATAATTTCCCTTTCATAACACCTCCAGTGCAGTCTGTGACATTGTAAAAATAACAGATAAAGGACAAGGGTACAGGAAAACCATCCAAAGGTTACATGTCTTCCCTTTAAACCAGAGTTGTTTGTACAAATTAATTTCATCAGAATCAAAAACAAATATTGGCGTTTCCTGCTGTAACCTGAACTCATGACCACACTCCTGCACTTAACAAAGATAACGGAACGAAACAGGTGATAACAATGAACAAGTTAACTTTAAATGATCAAAACTGGATTAACAATATTTCCAAAATAGAAGTTTATGATAGTAAACAAAGTGGATAAAAACTAGTCAATCAGGAGTTAAAACAAGGCCTCTAACAGACAGAAACAAGCCAGCTGATCATAGCCGTCAATGATGAATGAATCAGTTACTGTTGTATATTAATTCTTTGAAAATTAGTGATACGACTCCTGACAGTGTCTGGTTCAGTGTAGGTGTAGGTAACCTATCTGTTTCTTATTCATCACTCAGGGGGACATGAGGCCACCTGATGAACAGAAAACCTTTCAGGCTCAATTAGTCGATGACTGTAAATAAAAAAAATGCTGTCTTGTCAGCAGGCTTTTCATTACAAAAATATCCTCACAATGATCATTCGCTCCCAGTAAATTAAACATGCTGCATTCTTAATCAGAATTTATCAAGTGTTTAAGTCTCTTTAGTAATTTCATCCAGTGTCACATGTAGCTTTCTTCTCTGACTTCAGCAGCACATATAGCTTAACATTTAACTGTTATAACAGAACCAGTGTTACATTTAGTGAAGCCAGACTGAATTCACTTCATGATACAGGCCCCTGAGCATCTTCCTCCATGTTCATATGAGCTGTTAGTTCCTTTTCTGTCACTGCATCAGGACGCCATACTTCCCTTTCTGGGTATTTGCATTGACTAGAATGTACATAAACATGGACAAGCTTCTTTAGATGCATTAGCAGTAATCTTAGGCTTTTTTAATATTGATTTTTTGTTTTGATATACTCATGTGGTATTACTTAACCCCTTGCACAACTGAATTAATACAAAAAACATGATTAATAACAAAAATGATACTTAAAAGAATACGAGTGCTACTGCTAACTGCAGATGGGTGGGGTAAAATACAGTCTTGCACCTTCCATCAGTACGAAATCCAAGCGATTTACCCTAAAAACACAAAGTATATTTTTTGATTGTGTGATGTAAATGTTAGTCACTACTACAGTATGTTCTTTGTGTAATGATTTCTTTGTTTTAACTGCTGTTATCTTGTCGCCACACTGAGCCCATTATGTCGGCTTGACAAAAAGGTTTCACCTGGACCAACCAGGTACACCAAACTCTCTTACACAGTTGACGGATAGTGTACAAGAATGATGACAGAAATATGACAGTGGTGTATTTGTTTCAGTCAAACAACCAAGATGTTTTAATTGGAATGTGAGAGTTGAGACAGCTTGTGTACCCAAGATAACAGGTCTGTGTTTTTTACCCCTCAAAGCTTCGTGTCACCATGTATGTCTACTATTATGCACAGCTGGTTTCAAGCTGTATTGTTTAAAAAAAAAAAAAAAAAAGCCCCCTCCTTACTTTCTTAGGTCTTATCTTATTTCTTTCCCACAGAATTAATCTATGGCTGTGCCATTATTGACATGGTTTTTCGGCTTTCTACCCAACGGCTAAACTGAAAAAGTATGATTTATTTATACAGCTATATCGATTTATCTCCGTTATGTTATTCCTTCTGGTTGCAACTATGCTGCACTTACACTTTACACCACTGTACACCATGTGCTGAAAAGAACGTCGAGGTTTAATTTATCGACATGGAAACTCGCTTTGTCAGGAGTTAACCAATGAAAACAACCATAAATAGGGACAAACATCGGGCGTAAGAGTCAAAATGTGATGTGTTATGATTTCCACACATGCTAAAAGCCCCAAAGGTTTTTGAGAGTGAGGATGTGGTTATCATTTTACAGGACAGCGAGGAAATCTCTGAAGCACTCGTGTTATTCATTTCAAAACAGGATGCTGAAATCTCTCATGTGTCCATTTCATAACATGTCCATATGGCAAGGACAGAATCTTCTGCATTTTCATGGGTTAAAAATAAAACACTTGATCACTTGATGCACATACATTCTTCCACCAGTGGAAATTATACACTATTGTTAAGATTAACCCCTGCTCAATATAGGCTTGTTGTTATGGAGGAGCTTATCTAATGTGGAGGATCAAAATCTTTCTGATGTAATGGTGACATAACGTGTGATTAGAATATATTAATAATACAATAATACATGACATCATGTCTCTGCCATCACTGTCAACAACACAGAACGTGCTGTGAGTTGTAAAAAAGGTCTGCACAGCCCCATTCATGAAACTTTAAAGACCACTCGGCGTGACTTTGACTCCTTACTCCTTATCAAACCAACCTGCAAAGTTATGAACAGGTTACATGAGAGTGGTCAATAACACAAACAGAGGGTTAAATCAATAGTAAGATTAACTGCAGATCGCTAGTTCAAAATGTTGCCATGTACTTTAAAACCTCTGCATGTCTTATAGGAGTGATTCAGTTACCACAGGTTAACAAACCCTTCCAGGACAAAATAATAAATAACAAGCAGCCTTTCCAGCATACGAACCTAACAACACTTCATCAGGAGAGAGGTTCTCACTTTTCACAGTATTTCACACATCAGAGTATGTTGTAGGCTTAACACGAAAAGTGAGACTTAGGAAAATATACATCTAATCTCATGTCAGCTGCTGTTTAGCGCACAGTATATTCAGAGTCAAAAGGAGGCTGTAGCACAACACACAGAGCAGGCCAGTGTGCTGTTGTCCACAAGTCAGCATGTGTGTGTGTCAGGCATGTGCATGACTACTGCCATTATAATTCTGGGCAGGTGATCAGACTTGACCCCCACCAACTATGTCTGGCCCGCCAGCCAAGATCGTGTGCCAAGTGTCTGGTGTTGCCCGACTCCCCACTGGCTGGTTAATGAACGGCTTCGCGGGGGAGTCAGGGCGGGGTGGTGGTGGTGGTGGCGGAGGTGGAGAGGAGGGGAAGTAAAGGGGTGGGTTGGGGTGGGCCTCAGTCTGCTGCTTCAATTGCAGGCCTGTATCGGGCCAGCTGTTGATTCACAGCTCCTTCGCCACCACAACAAACAGAGGCCACACAAGGGCCAGCCGGCAGAGCAGAGCAGAGCAGTGTGGGACACTGGCAGGCAGTGCTGCACCCCCACCCCCCGCCCACACCCACCCCCCACCCCCACCCCACCCTACAAGAAAAAGCCCTGGCGATCAATTTCTCCACTGTCGCTACAGAAACAGAGCTGTCTCTATTGGGCTCGGTGTGTGGAGCATCTGACTGCATTCTTCTCTCTCCCTCCCTTTCCTTTCTCTCTCCATCTCTATTTCCACCCTCTTGCTTCTTTCTCCATCAACCCCCCACCCTCCTCCCCTTAGCTGTCTTCCTCATCTTTCCCTCCTGTCCTCCATCCTCCTTCTCTCACCTGCTTCTCCGGAACAAATCAACAGCTGTCTCAGCCTCACTCTGAGCAAGTGCACTGGCTATAAAACAAGCCACTGTTCTCCAGCTTCAGCCATTTGTCTGGCTGCTAATTCAAAAGGTAGACAGCAACTTCCTCAGCAGCCATTCTGTAGCGGTGTTACTGCTGCTGAGACAAACCTATTTGGTCTCAAAAATCACAACAAACATACAACAATGTTCAATTCCTGAAAAAAATTAATAAATCTTTAAAAAGCCTAAATCCAAAGAGGAAGGCACACTTCAGCCAGCAAATGCTTTCATTCCAAAATGCCTTTCAGATACCATGAAGTCAAACATTTTCAGTCTGGGTGGCCCCCAGTGTCAGATTCACATTTCTACTGTCACTCTCAAATTGCACTTGAACATAATCTATACTCCATGCTACAGAGGATAACTGCATTTTCAACAGATCCAGACCACACTGCTCTGGGTGTCTGCTCCGGCAGAACAGAAGGTTCCATTCAGCGAGGTGCAGCACTGTGCAAATTTTGGCTCTGCCAAGACAGAAATTAGTATTGCCCCGCAAAGCCACTCTTATCTGCCACAGAGGGACCTGTTAGTGGTTATGTAGCACTTGCATGATGCAAATAGACCTTGCAGAGATGACAAACCTATAAATAAACCATTCCTGCACACTAGACAATTTCTTTGAATTCAAAATTCAGTTGGTTGTAATACAGAGAAAGTTACGCATGACATTTCATGCTATTAATATAACTACTTGTTTGTTCACTTGGTGCCATAGAGAATTGTTCGTACTCAGTGAAATAAAATAAAACAATGAAGGGAGACGCTGCTCTTTTCAGCTGAAATACAATTTTGGTCTTGAAACTTGCTTTAACTGTAAATGAGCAAAACCTTCTGAGATGCACTGCAGGGACTTCCCACATACCTGGGAGATCAAAGACAGTGTAGGGAAAGCGTCAGGGCCAGAGCATCTGAGCCTTACACAGGCATCTGAGGTGAAACTTTATGGCAGCTGAAAACATGTTGGTTTGACTGATCTGGGACTGAGGTGTTTTGACCAAATGGGTTATTTTACATCAATCAGGTACCCACAGTTCACGAGCAAAGCATGTCAGACTCTCAATGAAATGACCATTTACACATAACATTTTCCTAAATCACCTGTTAGTTGATGCCAGACCTGTAGTGGTCTATGTGTACAAGTAATTGGGCAAAGTGTTCGGTGAAGCTTTGGTTTTTATATTCATGCCTAACAGCAAGTTTTAAATGAGACTCCCAGAAGTAAATGAAAACAAACCTGCAAATAATATTACCTACCAAAGTATTCCTTTTTCATGTGCATCTCTAACTCCTTTTCCAGCTCCAGGGTGAGCGCCTCCAGCCGCCTCTCTGCCTGGCTTGGCCCACTGTCTCGGCTGGGGGTCACCTGGTAAGGTAGCTTAAACCTCTGGCCCGAGGAAGCTGTTTTTGAGGACATCCCATAACTAAATGATGATGGTGACCCCGCGGTCATCTCCGCAGTCCCTCCCGTCTGAACTGACTGCTGTTGGGGCTCAGGCACCGCCGAAAGCCCCTGGAGATGGATGCGATTTTGGATCCCGTTGGAGTCTCCAAACTCCTGTAGCAGCGTATCCTCGTGTAAACTGCTTCCCAGCATCGACGACCTGGGTGAGGGCAGCTGCAGATCAGGGTAGGTGCTCATAGACCCCCTGGAGCTGCGGGAACTTCTAGAGCTGTGACTGGAGATGCTGGACCGGGGACTGACCACACAGTTTGCGGTGGTCCCCGGTCTTGCGCTCCCGTCCTGGCTGCAGATGCTCGAACGAGGACTCGCCAGCGGCGCTGCGTGTAAAATCGCCCCCTCCAGATCATGGTTGACCACAGGCCCGTACCGTGAGTCAGAGTAACTGGACCTCGGGCTGGTGGTGAAGGAGTACTGGCTCGCCGTGCTCGACCTGGGGCTGGTGTGCCTCTGGTCGTAGCCCATACTGATGCCGCTGGTGCGGTTGCTGCTGGGCTTGCTGCAGCAGTCACAGCTGTTGAGGCTGGCCCGGGGGCTGGAGTGTTTACTCGTGTCGCTGGCGGTGCTTGCATAGCTGGATCTGGGACTGAGGACACTGTTGCCCTCACAGTGAACCAAACTAGACCTGGGGCTCGTGTACCTGTCCTGACCCGGTACCACCAAACTAGTGCGCGGGCTGCTGATGCTCGACCTCGGGCTGGCATGCTTGCTCTGCTCCTGAGAAGACAGAGAAGATGCCAGGCTGGACCGAGGACTAGTGGCGTTGTACCTCCCGTCGTGGCTGCTGGTGATGCAGACACTGTTGCACCTGTTGCCGGGGAGAGCCACCGGTTTGTTGAGAGGCACGCCGTCGAAGGCGGAGCCGGTGCTATACCTGTGGCCCTGCACCTCCAGAGAGTACCTCCTGTGCCTCTCGGAAGCGCCCGTGTAGCACGGCAAAGCCACTTCGGATTTGGTGCAGCAGCCCTCCTCACTATAAACCGCGTCTCTTTGAGGGGCACAAAAATCCACAGGAACGGTCCGGTTGCAATTCACTGGGCGCACTGGAGCCGCGTTGTACACTTTATTTCCAGACGTGAAATTCTCTACTGTGTGATGCTGCTGGTGAAGCACAGAGGTACCATTCATTGGCTTACTTTTATGCTCTGCTACTGCCGGAGCCGAAAAGTCTAAATCGGGGTTAATCACCAAGTCTCTCCTCGAATTGTACATCCCGTCTTTATATGCATCGTACAAGGAAAGGTCCTCCATCAATTTACTGGCCCGGAGCCCCAAATCTTCCTGATAATGCTCCATGTTGTGCTCCCGAGGCGAGAAACAAGTTCAGAGTGTGCTCCGCTCCGCGAGCCAAACTAGCGAGCACCGCGGAGCACTAATTGCATTTCACATGGAAATCAAAACAAAACGCCGCGGTACAGCCGTCGCTCATTTACAGAAAAGCACCAACGTACTCAGAAACCTCCACCGTGTGCCGCATCGTCTTCTTCTGCTTTGCCCCCTTCTCCGAAAAAACAAACTCTTTCTCACAGTTTCAGCCGACAGGGATACGTTTGTCAACTTCAGTTTTTGTTAAGTTGAAAGGTCTTTACAGTCAATGGCGCGCTGCGCGGAGGAATTTCCCCTTGTTGGTTTTTCCTCTAGATTTCTCTTACGGTCAGTATGCCAGACATTAAAGTAGGATGGATAATCGCATACGCCGTAAGTATCAGTTGTATCCAAGTCTGAGCACACGAAGCTTGCGGAAATCTAAATAAAATACCGTTTTACACAGGGGACTCGTTTGCGTAAAAGGAATGCGGGGATGAAGACAGGATGCGCTGCGCCTCTCTGGAATGTGGTTAATGCTGCAGAGAAACAATGATTGCGACCAACTCAGCAAGGGGCTGCCGGCTCTGAAAAGAGAATAGTTTAGAGAGAAGGGGACGTCTGCATTCATCCAAGGCAGACTAAAATACCACACAAAGCACGCCTCACCTGGTCCGACTTCTTGTAAGCCAGGAATAAGATGCAGTGATTTGGTAATATGGAGGGCAAAGCTATTTAAAACTCAAGTTTATCCACCTTCTTAGTCTGATTGTCTAAAGATAAAGATATCCTCAGGTCCCTCAAAGTATATGATCCATTTTAGATCATATTCATTGGTAACAAATCATGAGTTTTAAAGATACCCCGATATCAAATAAATTATTCATTTTTTTCAAGGTTATATTGGGTTGAATAAACATATCCTTTTAATTTTAAGCGGAAATTACCTGAATACAAAGTGCATACGTCATTTAAAAATAGGAAACCAATGAAAGGGGGGAAATGATGGTTTTATCTGGTATGTTATGCCAGCAGTCCTGACAATAATGCTGTAGCCATTTTAAATCAGAGTACTCAAGCTTTATCAAGTCTTTGTCTATACCACTTATTCAAACATGAAAACTATTCAGCTATCTTAAAACACACACACACACACACAGAAATTGTTGCTTTGGAAGAAGATTCTTTTCTTTTGGATCAGGAATCCAGGTTTAATTTTTAGATGCGTTGAAACTATTTAAATCGATTTAAATCAATTTAAATCATGACACATCCAGAACTTACTGACTTTAAAAATCAATCAAACTGCATTTGATTTATTTTAAAGTTTTATTCATTAGCTTTCAGAACATTTTTTCTTGTAATACAGTTCCACAAAAAGCATTAAAACACTTTTAATGTATGAAGTAATTGTCAGTCTTTGGCTCTAGAAATGTGAGCATCTGACATACAGTTTCTGAAAGAGACAACTATAAAATGGTGTATTAAGAAATTAAGGTACAGAGGTGATACAGTACAGTATTTTTCACATGTAATGGATATCACAGTATCACAGGGGAATTCTGAGTCTTGGTCTTAGCTGCTTTTTATGTCTGAAGCACTTGTCAGTAATGACCACTTTGAAATAAAATGTATAAATGGATTTTGACATATTAATACATGTAAACAACCTATTCATGAAACAGTCTTGATACAGAATGTTTTGGAAAATGGCAGAATGATGTTTTTGGTTTAGTTTCTTATCAGCTGCCAACAACTGGAAGAAAAGAGAGAGCCACAGCAACGAAGGCAGCAACAAACAGGATGTCTAGTAGTAATCGACTGAGGAAGGAGCTGCAAGATTTTTTCCCGTGGCCTCTGCATCTGAACCATTGTACAACCTCATCCAGGTTATACTCCTGGGGTTCATAACCAAGCTCTGCTTTAGCCTTTGCCATGCTGAAGTAATGCGTCACGCCAGTTTTATACACCTCTGTACGTGTCAGGAGTGGCTGGAAGTTATAGAAGGGGCCGATGAGGTGGTGAATCATTTCTGTGAGAAAGGCAAAGAAGTAAATAAGATAGAGAGGTAGTCGTACTTTGGGGAAGGGATAGCCCAAGCCCTCCACCAGAGGTCTGAAGAATTCAAAATTATTGACAGGTCTACCGTCGGAGATGAAGTAGGCCTGGCCAGCAGAGCGGTGCTGCTTCTCCAAGGTCAGTGCCTCTGCAGCCAGCTCATGTGCTGAAACCAGGTTGTCCACATGGACAAATTCTACCAGGCTGCTGGGTTCACCATAAACAAACCGGAAGATCCCCTTCTCAATGTAACCAACTATCCTGGGTAGGTGCCTCTGCTCTCCAGGCCCGTAGATTCCTGCTGGACGCAGTGCACAGGTTCTCAGCACCCCAGAGCTGTCCTTCAGGGCTGTGCCATTAGCTTTCAGCACGGCCATCTCAGCCAGGGACTTGGTTCTGGAGTAGTGGTCAGGGTGAAGATGGAGAGGTAGATAAGGGAGGCTTTCATTGCCGTTCTCTATCACTTGGCCTCCAAACACCACATTGAAGGTGCTGGTGTAAACCAGCCTGGACACTCCGTGCTCAACACAACCCTTCAGGACGTTCTGTGTACCCTGAACATTCACCGCCTCAATCAGATGATGGTTCAGCTGCTCCCTGCCAGACATGCCATAGGAGGCAATGTGGAATACACAATCCACACCAGCTATGGCCCTCTCAACTTGTGCATAGTCACGTATATCACCTTGCACAAACACAAAGTCCTCTGGCACTTCTTGGATTGGAGGGACTGTGTCAAACAGAAGGACTCTGGCTCCCTTTTTATGCAGTGAGCATGCCAGGCTGCAGGAGCAAACAAGTTATTAAATATGAATTAAAATCTCCATGACACTCAATGCAAATTTATGACAAAAATACAATAATTACATGTATGTCTAGTTTAAAATCTACCACAGCTATGTGGTGCTCAAAGATCCCAGTCTGGCTGAGATGACTGGTGCAATAACGCCACCTTGTTGCGGTACAGCACAAAGTAACTGACTAAATGTTTAATTCATTTTTTGCACTATAAAGAATATGAAGTAGTTCTTACCGATAACCAAAGTAGCCACATCCCCCAGTTATCAGAAACGTGTCTGTGCGTGCATTTTCCATTGCAGGAGGGCGAATCTGTAAATTTATGAAAGCAAGTGATTATTATCAGGAAGACAGTGATAAGCTTGGAGAAGCACACACTAAAGCAGTCTCGTTTGTGAAAACTCTTAAGTCACAAACCAAAAAATAAAATATGACGCTAAGTCGTTACCTAACCTACAGTCTGTGTGCCGGTTCACTGACCTCGTACTTTAGCTGTAACACGTTTTTATGGGATTAGCTGAATGCATTACCATTATTCCTACATGGATAATATAGGCTACCACAAATGCATCGCAGTCTATCCAGTTAAGAAATTACTAGTTATACTTTACGGAAGTTTTATTCAGCATGCCTCAAACTATGCAACAAAGTAGTGTGTTCTGACATGCGCACACTGTGCTAAAGATAAATACATAGCCTGTACTCGAAACTATTTAAGGTCACGTATTCACCAGCGGTACCAACCTCAACATAAACCGGGTAGAAAATGAGTAAAATATCTGATGAATGTCACTTATTCAAAACTCTACTACAGCATTTGATAAGTGCACCAATGTGTACTTCCTTAGGCGGTGCTGTACGTGCTTTTTGTTCCGTCATTGCGGCCACCTGCGTCGTACAAAGAGGCACAATACCACGGGAAGTTAGTCGACATTACCTTCACAATGCAAGGTCTAATATAGTGATGAACTGGTTTTAATTGAAAATCATCACAGCATATAAAAAACATTGTTAATTATGTATTTTATAATTGTAAGAGTTTTCAATTAATGATGTGACTTTATATTTATAATTTTGCAAAAGTGATTGCTTGCGTTGCATACTCATTTCTCGAAGTGTACGTCAGTGATGGTTTTACTTTGATAGTTGTTCTCGGAAGTTATAATCTCACAAACGATAGTTTGATGCGATAGCCACTAACTTTAAGACTTCCGGTATGCACCTCGTGCCTTCAAAATAAAAGCAGAGATCTTTTTAAAATTGTAGTGAAATAGTGGAATTTGCTGCCTAATCAAAGTACCAATTAAATTAAAATACATATCACTTTTTGGGACGTTTTCCTTAAAAAAAATAAAACCAGGCTCATCTTTACATGTGTGACGGCTCTGTTCATTCCACTTATTGAACTTAATAACACTTGGACTTACTTTGTACATTTTAATAATAGTAATGTTGAATTTTATACATATATGGCGAGATTAACTATAAATTCCACCTTTCCACCTTGTAATTGGTGTCAGAAAAATAATGATAATATTGTCACATGCTTAATTTCTTAAACTGCAAATTATGTCCAGTCAGGATAGTGTCTGAATTAGAGACTGTACGACCCACCTTTGACTTTTCATGCAAAAATTATACATCTAAACACTCCTGCTGACCTGTACTTCATTATCGCACTATCATCTTAACATTTACGTATGAAAAAAAAAAAAAACATTCATCAAAATAAATTCAATTAAATTACTTAAACATGCGTGAATGTTAAAGCTCCCTCTAGTGGCGATACCTGAGCCTAGACAACTGAATGTCACAAGACAGCAGCTTCATGTTGAAAATACTTGGAGTGGGACTGGGCAAGGATTCATTAGAGCTCAGTCAACAGTCTACACTGCCCCACAGTGTTTTACCAGAGCATCTAAACAAATTTAATAAGAGCTAACAAAAGTCATTATGACCTGTTACTTTTTCAGATTTTCATCATTCTAGTTGCAGATTAACCTTGGTCCCATCTGTCCTGTTTCAATTCAGATCTCTAAAGCTTTCTTTATTTTCCTGCAAACTTCACCTGACTTTTATATTGTTGATACACACTCAGGTACTTGATTTAAACATACTTGATTACTTTTCAACTCTGGACCTGCAATCGGGACAGTGAATGAAATGGCATAACACATTTAAGGTCCTATTTATTTGTACTCCTTTCAGTCATTATAAAATGGCATATTTAACATTGTACAAATTATTTAAGCACTGTTAATTTTTGAAATAGAAGATTCTTCAACGAGCTGCTTTACCTGGTCAGTCATGAAATTAACACAAGTTGTGACATTTTCCAGGATAATTCAAAAACAGGACGTGTTGTTTTTCAGATTGTGTAGCAGGCTTTTTTGTTTTCAGGCTTCAGTTTCTTCTGCAACTTTACATTGAAGTTCTCTTCTCTCTTATAACCGCTTACCTGCAGACTGTGACGTAACCTGCAGCCCTGTCCTGTTGGTGCACTGTAGGTGATAGTAAAACATGAAATCGCCGTCCTCGAGATAAACAGTGACTTTCAGATGTCGCCGCTAGAGGGAGCTTTAACATTCAGACATGTTTGGAATTTACATTCAGAAATAAAAGGTAAACCCTATATCAATATGTAGGCTAATGCTTAGAGTCTATTTATTTTTGTTGAATTTTTATTTTATTCGTATTATTTTTTCTTTCCTTACATAACTATTAAATGTGTCACACCAACTGTATACACCGGTTTCCGTAGCAGCAGTGTCTGAAACGATGTGTTCGCCAGTGATGGTTTTACTTTGAAATTGTAATCGGAAATTATAATCTCACAAACGATATCTTGATTCGATCATGGATGCTACCTAAGATCCTCTTTTTTCTCTCCTGTCTCTGATGAGACCAACAAAGACTTCCGGTATGCATCTCACGCCTTCAGAATAAAAGCCGGGATCTTTTTAAAATGGTTTGAGGTAGTGAAATTGACTAGGCTATCAAACTGAGGTACCAATGGGACGAAAACACGTAATTGTTTTCGTTCTTTACTTTTTATTCCAGAATGAACATTGTTCAAAACATGTGTCTAAATGTTAAAGCTCCCTCTAGCGGCGATACAAAACTGAAAGTCATTGTTTACCTCGAGGACAGCGGGTTTCTGTTTTACTATCACATTTAAAGTGCATCAATACAACGTCGCTGCAAGTTACGTCTGCAGGTAAGAGGTCCGTGTTAGTCAAGAGAGGATCAATGAGGGTGATGTAAACTATTGGGGGAAATGCTGCAACGTCGGCGGGTGGACGAGGCACACATTGGGCGTTACTTTCAGCTTTCTTAAGTGACATAAATGCGAAATGAGACGATCTCGTTAATCAGTCTTGACTCTGGTAATAATAAAACAGGGGTAATGTCCCATAGTTAATAGTTACTCATTCCGCTGCCAGCTTTTAAGAAATTAGATCGCATTTCCTTTACGTTTTTTTTTTTGCTCGCCCGTAGGCTATAACACAATGTAAAGTTAAAAGTTGAACACTGCTTCTACATATTTCACTGCATATAACTAATAACTATAAATAAACATTTTCGATTTATAACTATGAGAAGTTGTCATTGTTTTAAGATTTAAGATACAGCTGAGATGACTATAAGTGCAGTTTGTATATGGTGGACTGGTCCTTAAAATACATAAGCATTCTTGTCCATGAATAGTTTACAAAGGTTTAATATGCTTTTAATAATTGGTTTTATTGATATAAACTCTTCAATATCTGTGAAGGAATTTTCTTTTGTCCACCTGATGAGTTACTGACTCAGGTGAGAGGTCAGTATGAGGCCCTGGGTCACTGTGACCCAGCTACTGCACTAAATCTAACCAGCTTTGAGATAATGAGGCGACTCCTCCAGATGAAGCTGTGCTTGGCCGATACTGTTGGTGCCACGGCTGATAACAACAGACCTTGGATGGGCAGTACCGAGTGGCTGAGTGTACGTATATAGTCATGTTTCCTTGTTTATGGTTAATGAACCAATAGTGTAGTAATACATCCCTCTCCAACCCCTTCTCCATCTTATGGGGTTATTTGACCAATTATGGAGTGCAAGCCATCTATAGTATTCTTTCTAAATGTATAAAACCTATCCCCAGAGGTTCCTGCTTCAGAATTGAGGTGACATCATGCACAGAAGCCTGTATTGATGAATCCTTTCTCCTTGATCAAGCATCAATAAACATCCTCAGCATAAGACATCCTGGACTCCAGCACTCTGTCTTCACCACCGATGAAGAATTTTCCCTAACAATAGCTATGCCTTGAATGTGGTCTATTAGAAAGTGACATCAGTTCATGTAATCTGTATTTTACAGGCAAGATGAATTTGGAGGAGTACTTCAAAAGAATTGGTTTCCATGGCTCTTATGAAAAACTGGATCTTGCAACACTGAAGCTGATCCACAAACAACATGTCATGTCAATTCCATTTGAAAACCTCAGCATTCACTGTGGTGAGAAGATCATCATGGACCTGGAGGTCATTTTCAATAAGATAGTGAGGAGCAGTCGTGGAGGCTGGTGCCTTGAGAACAACTTTCTTTTTGGCTGGGTGCTGAGAGAAATGGGCTACAACACCACGACCTTGGGCTCCAGAGTTTTCAACAGTATTCTCAATGACTTTGGCCCTCTTGAATCTCATCTCATCAACAAGGTTGTCATTGATGGAAAGGCTTACATAACAGATGTAAGCTTTGGGGTGTCTTCCCAAGTGTGGGAACCCCTGGAGCTCATCTCTGGGAAAGACCAACCTCAGGCAGCGGGGGTCTTTCGTCTCATAGACAAAGGGGACATGTGGGTGCTGGAGAAGACTGGTAGAAAGCCAGAGGTTGTTAATCCAGAGTTTGCCAGTTCAAGCCTGGTAAACAGGAAGGAAACAAAGCAGATCTACGGCTTCACTTTGGTGCCTCGTGAGGCAGATCATTTCTTTGAGACAAACCACACACTTCAGACAGATCCTAGTTCACTGTTCACCAATAAGTCCATCTGCTCTTTGCAAACACCCGCAGGATTCAGAGCCCTGATCGGCTGGACCTACAGTGAGGTCACCTACAAACCTGTGGAAGGTGTTGATGTTTTAGACCTGAGGGACATACCAGACGATGAGATAGAGCAAATTCTGAAGGAAAAGTTCAGTGTAAAGTTGCCAAACAAGCTAAAGCCTATAAACAACAAAGCGTGGTACACACTCTGAAAAACCACATGTATTCTTTTTTTTTCTTTTCTTTTTTTAAATTGTCCTGAAAGATGTTACAACCTGTGTTCATCATGACTAACCAGGTAGAGCAGCTTGTTGAAAAATCATCTAGTTCAAAACTTAACAATGCTTTTAATTTATTTTTTGTACAATGAAAATAATAGCATTATTCACTGACACTTTTGAGAGTAAGTAATAATGTATATTTAAATCAGGTACCTCAGTATGTCAGGTTACAGTTTGCAAACAGTTGTTGTAAGAAACCTAACTTTGTTGGCTGTACACTAAACATTAGTCAAAGAGTTATGAAATGATGAACCACTTTTAATCTGTACAAGAGTGATGGAAAAATGAAAGTATGGAGAGAAAAAAACTGACCCAGACTTTGTCAATAAAGGCCTGCTCAGTGTGGTGTAGTATCAAAGTTAGCGTTTGGCTGACCGATGGAGCCCACAGGATATTTCAGCTTTTGGATTCTGTAAAAGCCAAGTATCCAGAGTTAATTGAAGGAGCGGATATGCCTTTCTCAATGAAAGTATTACCAGCCAAGGAAAAATTGTTTTCAGTCTAAGTAAATCTGAGCAATGTTGTTTGCCATTATTATGTATTGTAGTAACTTGCTTATACCAATGCAACCTGTTGAGCTTCAACTTATATATTATCAAGTCACATGATAAAACCAACCTTGATGTTCTTGACTTTATACTCACCTGTATTCTATGTTGTTACTCATATATCATATTATGCTCATAACCTTTTGTATCCTTTTCTTCAGAAACATGAGTTTCAAAACAAGATGCAGGATGAGTCCTGTGTATTAAATCCAAGAATTACAATGCCAGTTAAATTTTTTTGTATAATGAAGTTTATCATTGTCTGTTTGATATACGTAGGTTTGTGTATTGGCCGATAAGTCCAATCTTCCTGATCAAGATCGAGAGGAGAAGGCATCCACCTCTCCCTGACTAAAGCTCAGATCCTCTTCTTGGCAGCTCTCATAGCTGTCATAGATTAGCAAGTGTTGGAGTCACCTCAATTGTATTGCTTTTGTGACTACATTTGCAGACATTGTGTGGACAACCTCTAGAGGAGTCCACACAGGGGGTATCTAAAATCCTTAGTTCTGATAGTTGTGCACACAGCCCACCTTGTCTCCATATGTTGGTCACTGTGTTTTTCTCTGTTTGGAGGAGAACGCATATTCTAGTGATGGATGATAACAGGTCAGCAGTGTAAAATCACACCAGTGTTTAAAATCAGCAGAGTAAACACACTCATATGCATCAGAGGTCAGCGGCGCTTGGGGAGCTTGACTGATTGACAGTGAAGTAATGTGTGCTATACTGTTTTCTGGTTTGTAGAAAGATTCCATGGGACAAGACCAGAGGTCAAGTTAATATAAGGAATGATTGCCATGAAGGTACAATCAGTGTCTTTGTTGCTTCCTTCTGACATTCATACTTTCCCTTGGCCCTTGCATTTCTATGGAAATTTCCAATCCTTGCCATTCTTTACCTGTCCACCATGTCCTGCCAGTCACCTGATCTCCACATCCACCAGCACAACTGTCTCTTATATCTCTCCTGTGACACCAAGTATTTATACTCTTTTGCATTGATTTAATGTTGCTCAGAGAAGTTGACATTATTATATTGCATGTGGTGTTATCACCTTGGCCTTAATATTCCTTACAATGAGACTGTGCAACTTTTGCTATACAGTGGCCATTTTGGCAACAAATGACCATTGTGGGATGATGGTAAATGATAATCAATTAACTGACTCAGTAATATTTGTTAAACAGTGATATCTATATAAAGTTTACCAACAATAGCTACCGTTAGCCACCATAAGTTACTGGTCATATAAAACCAAATAAGGCTGTGGCTGCAAATCCCTGCAGTGTATTGAACTGAGGAAGGGTGTATAATATTGGTTATGTGTTCAACTTTTCATTTCTAACACAATGTGTCGTTTTTTCCTTCAAAACTTATGTAGACTCACTTTAAAAGTACAGCTTCAGCTAACCTAAAGGACTCATGCATGATAACCAACAAATATTTATTACCCTTCTTTGTTTAGGGCAAAGGTCCAACACAGTTAATCAAGACCCATGTTGTAAATTAGATACTTCAGTCAGTACACTCATGTAGTACATTGTGTACACATATACTCACTGGCGCAGTTGCACACTCACCGGAAATAGCGATCGTAACATGTCGCACACCTGCCGGCTGCTTTGCTCTCTTGACTCGAAATTAACGTTTTACTTTCCCGTGTGTGTCCATGGATGTACTATAAGACCCGTTCTAATAAAACACCCATGTGTGTACCCCTGACATGGAAATTAGGCCACCATCGGCGCCGACGTCGTTTCCTCCTTTCTTGGTCGCCCTTTTCACAAATTTGAAATTAGCTTCATGGCCCCTGGTCCCTCCCCTTCCGCTACGTAGCCAAGATGGTGACCGTTGAGGGGGAGAAGTGTTCATTCTTTTATACTCAACTTTTTGACCATTTTGAGCGCACCATCTAAGTACTTAATGCGCACTGCATGTTCAGTCTTTACTCAAAACACCAAGCGTGAGTATGGAAATACACGAAATGAGACACAGCAATGGACAATGGTTCCTCCAGTACTGGTGGAGAACTGAGATGGTGCTACATGACCTGACTGGGTTTACCCACTAACTGACAGGCATGATAAAGCTGACAAAATGAAACAATATCAGAATGTAATTTTGGCAAGCATATCCATCTGTGTAATGTGTCTGTTCCCTTTATACTGTGTCCCTTAGTGAAGCGGCTGTGGAGTAACACTTCAGGCACTGATTACACAAGTGCACAGGCAAATCATCAACTAAACCAAACATAGCTTTACTGACTATAAGCTTGGTCCTTCACAGCTCGGAAGTTCTCCAGGAAGAAACAGCTGAGTTGCAGCTCCTGTGTGGGGAAGCTTTGGGTCCATATAAATACTCTATCCTCAGAATACACAATTTTGATTGATTGCACCAGCAGCCTACGTGAAAGGTAAGGTTGAACACTATTTCTTTATGTTTTCTGCTGCAAAGTTTTGTAAGTCTCAAACTTTAGGACTAGAATTTCTGACATCTGAGTAGGCCTATGACCATTTCTTATTATTAGGTACATGCATAAAAAAGTGAATGCACTGAAAAATGTGCTTCGTCAATGTGCAGTTTGATCAAGAGAAACTTCAGGAGTTCTATGATCCCTGATTAATCATTAAATCTTCCCTAATTATGTGGGAGGTGAAGTCTCCTTATAAACTTTGAGACAACTGAAATGACTTTGCAAAACTGAGTGCAACTGTGTAAAAGGTGGACTGGTGCTATAAAATCATGACATACCGTATTTTACAGGCAAGATGAATTTGGAGGAGTACTTCAAAAGAATTGGTTTCCATGGCTCTTATGAAAAACTGGATCTTGCAACACTGAAGCTGATCCACAAACAACATGTCATGTCAATTCCATTTGAAAACCTCAGCATTCACTGTGGTGAGAAGATCATCATGGACCTGGAGGTCATTTTCAATAAGATAGTGAGGAGCAGTCGTGGAGGCTGGTGCCTTGAGAACAACTTTCTTTTTGGCTGGGTGCTGAGAGAAATGGGCTACAACACCACGACCTTGGGCTCCAGAGTGTTTTACAGTACCGTCAATGACTTTGGCCCTGATGACACTCATCTCATCAACAAGGTTGTCATTGATGGAAAGGCTTACATAACAGATGTAAGCTTTGGGGTGTCTTCCCAAGTGTGGGAACCCCTGGAGCTCATCTCTGGGAAAGACCAACCTCAGGCAGCGGGGGTCTTTCGTCTCATAGACAAAGGGGACATGTGGGTGCTGGAGAAGACTGGTAGAAAGCCAGAGGTTGTTAATCCAGAGTTTGCCAGTTCAAGCCTGGTAAACAGGAAGGAAACAAAGCAGATCTACGGCTTCACTTTGGTGCCTCGTGAGGCAGATCATTTCTTTGAGACAAACCACACACTTCAGACAGATCCTAGTTCACTGTTCACCAATAAGTCCATCTGCTCTTTGCAAACACCCGCAGGATTCAGAGCCCTGATCGGCTGGACCTACAGTGAGGTCACCTACAAACCTGTGGAAGGTGTTGATGTTTTAGACCTGAGGGACATACCAGACGATGAGATAGAGCAAATTCTGAAGGAGAACTTCAATGTAAAGTTGCAGAAGAAACTGAAGCCTGAAAACAAAAAAGCCTGCTACACAATCTGAAAAACAACACGTCCTGTTTTTGAATTATCCTGGAAAATGTCACAACTTGTGTTAATTTCATGACTGACCAGGTAAAGCAGCTTGTTGAAGAATCTTCTATTTCAAAAATTAACAGTGCTTAAATAATTTGTACAATGTTAAATATGCCATTTTATAATGACTGAAAGGAGTACAAATAAATAGGACCTTAAATGTGTTCCAGAGTTGAAAAGTAATCAAGTATGTTTAAGTCAAGTACCTGAGTGTGTATCAACAAAATAAAAGCCAGGCTGAAGTTTGCAGGAAAGTAAAGAAAGCTTTAGAGATCTGAACTGAAACATTATGGACAGATGGGACCAAGGTGTAAAAAGGTAACAGGTCACAATGACTATTGTTAGCTCTAACTGATTCAATTTATTTAGATGATCTGGTAACACACCATGAGGCGCTGTCAATGTGAAAGAGCTCTAATGAATCCTTGCCCAGTCACAATCCAACTTCCTCTCCAAATTACAAATTTTATTGAAATGTCATTCATGTGATTTTACATAAATAAAATGATCAAGACTCTGTCCTACTCCATGAATATGTCCATATGCACAGCCAAATGTCTACCAAACCCACTAGTCCCTGCCCATGCAAAGTGGGTTTAAATCTGCATTATTTAATAAGAATATTTGAACTGTATTTCTATCTGCATTTTTTAAAGAATTGTTGTGTAAGTACTACCCTCTTCCTTCTTAAATATTTTGGATTGTTATGCTATTTGTCTTATATTTGTATATATTTTGTTATGTGTTCTGTATATGTGGACTGGAACCTTAGAAACAGCGCCACCTAGACCCCTGGAGCCGATCAGGGTTTGGTAGTAGGCCAAAAGCAGGGGACGGGACCTAGACCAGAAGTACCGCTGATTATTTGGTTTACATCCAATCATATTAGACCTTAGCACACAGCCCATGCGGATTGGTTTGTACAACCTGTCATTCAGCGGAAAGGGGTAGTAGCACAGCCACCAGCAGGCTGCTGGGAGCAGACATGAATTCACTGGAACAGGCCGAAGGTAACCAAATAGAGAACAACTAATATCATCTCATTTTTCTATCTGCTGTATTGTTTTAGCCTCGCGGCGGTAATCACCTGAAGATTCAAAACAAACGTCTTATAATGGGATTACAAAATTTGGTGTTACGTTGGACAAGATGGCTAGTCTGATGTCGACACTTAGCATGTTTGCTAATGTTTGCTAGCTTAACTGACAGTAGACTTCCAGTCCTTCGTCTGTGTAGTTTTTTCGCAAACACATATTTGCATTAGTTATTAAGTTTGTGAGTTTGTGTTGTCCGGGAAGTAGCGTTATAGATACTACTGTTACTACTACTACTACTAGTACTACTAGTACTACTACTGATTCTACTGTTTGCCTGTCAGTGTGACATAATCAGTCTTTAAGTGAAAGTTTCTGATATTTTACATCCGTATTCAAGAATTGCAATAACCACTTAGATACAAGCTGACACAAACGGAGCTTTAGAGCTGAGATTAACATGAACGTAGTTATATGAATACTTTA